GTGAAGTACCTACTGTGTGTTGGGAGCCCTGTAAGATCATCACATTGAGTTGTTAAGGGCCTGGAGTCTGGCTCTGCCATCTAATTGCTGGGTGACTTGGGGAGAGTTACTTAACCTCTCTGATCCTCAGTTTCCACACCCATAAATGGGGATAATAATACAATTACCCACCGTGCTAACACCCAGCTCGCAGGGTTGTCATGAAGATTGAGTCAGAAACAGTGAGGAGCCTGGCATGTAGAAAGTAAGTATTAGCCATTAGCTCACATTTACCATGGTGGAGGTTGTTATTGGTGTGAGTTTCCTAGCATCCCCATGAGTGACTGTTAGCCCAGTCGATCACGTGCCTCTGGAGTGAGATTGCTGGAGGGGAGAATCGTGGTTCACAAGCTGTGTGACCCTGGGCAAGTGCTTTGATGTCTCAGAGTCTTGGTTTCTTCATCTGTAAAGGGGCACACGAACCTCCCCGGGGACTTAGGGCAACGATGCTGTTGAGCTGGTGCCTGTGAATGTGAGGTCTGGCAAAGCCCACAGCAAGTGGCAAATGCCCAGGATGCCTCTGTGGTCATCACCAGTGGACAGATGGAGAAGCAGAGGCTGCACGAGGGTAGGGCACTTGCCTGAGGCTGTCTAAGCAGCAAGCGGCGGAATGGGCCGTGGGCCTGTCTCCTCATAGCTTCCTGCTATAGCTTCCTGCTGCCGCTCACGACTTTGTCCCACCAGGAGTCCAAGGTCCCTGAGGCAGTGGTCATAGCCGCACAACTCCCATGTCCTCTGGGGGGCTTCGGCTAGAACAGTAGGCCCGGCCAGGATGGAGTCCAGAAGGTAGCTTTTCTTGCATCTGCCCCGGTCCATGAAAGGGCTGGGTTGGGCGCTGGCCCTGTGCCTAAGGTGGGACTGGGCTCAAGAGAGACCAAGGCCCCTGCTTGAGCCACAGTGCAGACCCTAACAATGCACTGCAGAGTCAGGGCTTGACTATTTGGGGTGAGACTCACCGCCTCAAGGTGCAGCTGGCCCGGCAGATGGTCAGTGACTGGGGTGGGATTGTGGGGGCCCAGAAACTCACATTCTCCATGTGGCCTGCCAAAACCAGGAAGTGGGGGTTAGGGAATGAGGGAGGAGTCAGGGGTGAACCCCTGACCTCGATGTTCTAGAAGCCCAGCTTATCCCTTCTTACCCAGATCCTCCATCCAAAGCTCCCCGCTGCTGAGCCTTCCTGGCCACCCCGCCAAACACCAGCTTTCTTCACTGCAGGACTTGTCAGTGCCTTTGCGGGCTCATGAACATATCAAGGTGGGGTTTTCCTAACTGCCTTGACCAAGGAAGAATAAGGCTTGTAAGAGCTGGGTTCCTGGAACCCCACTTTGGGGCAGGCTGCCCCTAGTTGACCTTGCAGAAGGTGTGGCCTGGGTCCTGTTCCCTCAAGATCCCCCAGCTCCAGTATATCCAGGTCTGCCACAAAGCCAGCCCTTAGGCAAGGTTTGGGACATCGGGGGGTGGATTCTCCAGCACGTTTACTGCTGCCATTTCTGCCCCCAGCGCCGCCAACATCAACAGCACCTGCAGTGCTGCTCCATGCCTCCAGTAGGTGTCCAGGTCCCCTAGGGAACCTGCAAAAATCGCAATAATAATACAGCTTCCTGGGCCCAGCTCTGGAGACCTGGGTTCAGCAGGTCTGGGTTAGTGGCCCGGAATCTGAATTTTTCACACTGGGCCCCAGTACCTTGACCCGGGGACCGTCAGTCTAAAGGGCTGGTGGTCGCCTCTGCCTTGATGGTGAAGAACCCCACCCTGGCCCACCCCACGGGACATGCCAGGACCTGCCTCTCTATGGCCTGTCCTCAATGGAGCCTTCTGCACAGGAACGCCAAATTCTTCCTCCTGCTTTAGCACCCGGCCGACACCCCCTCCTCCAGGAAGCCTTCCGTGACTACTGCTGTCCCCACCCAGCCAGTCCAGAGGCTCCCTTGGGCATCTCCAGCCCCCAGGCCTGTCTCAGTCTTGTGACTGTTTCTATAAATACTGATTGCCTCCTGGTCTGTAGGGTGGATCAGGGAGGGACAGGCTTGTCTTTGTGAGATGCCAGGCCCGCACACAGCAGGTGCTTAATGAGTGTGAGTAGGAGGAATCTTCTGCGTGCCTAGCCGCACAGGCCCCACTGTGGGTCTTCAATGGAGACAGGGGAACTATCATGGCTGGCTGGCTGGGTGACAGTGGCTAACCTGCTTTCCCTGTCTGGTCTCTGTTTCTTTCTTTGTTTAAAGAAAGCAACAGACGGAGGTCGGGCATGGTGGCTCACACCTGTAATCCCAGCTACTCAGGAGGCTGAGGCAGCAGAATCGTTTGAACCCAGGAGGTAGAGGTTGCAGTGAGCCAAGATCGTACCACTGCACTTCCAGCCTGGGTGACAGAGCGAGACTCTGTCTCAAAACAACAGAGGCAGGGCTGGGTGATCTCTAAGGCTCCTTGACAACTAAAATCACAAACCTTTGTTGAGACTTACTCTGCGCCCAGCTCTGTGCACAGCGCTTTAGCAGTGTGACCTCACTTCCATTTGTAACCCCCGCCACCCCGGTCCCGGGAAAGGTTCTGTTACTGTAGTCCATCGGATTGGGAAGCAGAGGCACAGAGAGGCAAGGGAGCTTGGCCAAGTCACACAGCCACTCAGCGGCTGATGGGCGCCAAGATCTGCACCCACAGCTCATCCCAGGGCCAAAGTCTTAACTAACTCCCATGATAGCATTTTCCAGAGTAGTTTGTATGTGGTTCTGGGGGACGGGGGGCAGTAGACAGATGTGACAGGAGGGGACACAGAGACAGTGAGGGAGAGGGCCAGGCTGCTTTCAAGATTTTTTTTTTTTTTCTTTGAGACTGAGTCTCGCTCTGTCGCCCAGGCTGGAGTGCAGTGGCACGATCTCGGCTCACTGCAACCTCCACCTCCCGGGTTCAAGCGATTCTCCTGCCTCAGCCTCCCTGAGTAGCTGGCATTACAGGTGCGCACCACCACGCCCAGCTAATATTTGTATTTTTAGTGGAGACGGGGTTTCACCATGTTGGCCAGGCTGGTCTCAAACTCCTGATCTCAGGTGATCCACCCACCGTGGCCTCCCAAAGTACTGGGATTCCAGGTGTGAGCCACCGCACCAGGCCTCAAGTCTCTTTCAGGGTCTCTGAGAAGATCAGGAGAGAGGCTGGGCCTGATGCCACCACGGCTGTCACACCTCCTGACTCGTAACAGCGGGCAGCCCGGTGTCACCATGGAACCCAATGCCACTGCGTTCCCATGAAATTTATTTTGGCAGCTAATTCACTCGTGATGAGGGCTTCTAGATTTCTGTTTAAAAGGGGGAGAGCAAGTTACCTTTGTAAACACATTCATTTAACTCTAAAATAAAATGAGTAGGTTGAAAGAAAAACATCAGGTAATTAAAAATAAGACTGCTCACACAATAGCTTGTTCCCGAATGTTCACAGCAGCGTGATTCTCATGATGGCCCAAAGGTGGAAACGGCCCAGATGGTCGTCAGTTGTTGAATGAATAAGCAAAATGTGATGTAGCCATGTGACAGAATATTATTCAGCCATAAAAAGAATGAAGTTCTAATAGATGCCACAATATGCATGAAGTTTGAAAGCATCATGCTAAGAGAAGTCAGACGCAAAAGGCCATGTGTTGTGTGATTCTGTTTTTATGAAATGTCCAGAATAGGCAAATCCATAGAGAGAGAAAGTGAGTTCCTGATTGCCAGGGGCTGGAGTGGGTGGGGAATAGGGAGTGAGAGCTCGTGGGTGTGGAGCTTTGGGGTGATAAAAATGTCTGGAATGAGATAGTGGTGATGGTTGCACAATTCTGAATATGTAGTACTAAAAACCACTGACTGTGTACTTTAAACAGGTGAATTTTAAGGTATGTGAGTTATCTCCCAATTTTTAAAATATGGTGCGTTTTGCCAACATGGCAAAATAGAAGCATTAGAAGCTGGGTGCGCTGGTGGTGCCAGTGGTCCCAGCTACTCGGGAGGCGGAGGTAGGAGGATTGCTTGAGCTCAGGAGTTCGAGGCTGCAGTGAACTACGATCATGCCACTGCACTCTAAGCCAGGTGACAGAGTGAGACCGTATCTCTCACAAAAAATATGTAGGCAAGGCCTGGTGGCTCACATCTGTGATCGGCACTTTGGGAGTCCGAGGTGGATGGATTGCTTGAGCTCAGGAGTTTGAGACCAGCCTGGGTGACATGTTGAAACCCCCTCTCTACCAAAAGGAATGTAAAAGTTATCCAGGAGTGGTGGCATGTGCCTGTAGTCCCAGCTACTTGGGAGGCCGGGCTGGGAGGATTGCTTGAGCCTGGGAGATAGAGGCTAGAGTGAGCCATGACTGTGCCGCTATACTCCAGCCTGGGCAAGAGTGAAACTCTATCTATGGCAATTAAATAAACAAATAAATAAATAAAAATAGAAGTATTAGAATGATCAAAGTGGAAGCTGGCTGGGCCCAGTGGCTCATGCCTGTAATCCTAGCACTTTGGCAGCCCAAGGCAGGCAGATCACTTAAGGTCAGGAGTTCAAGACCAGCCTGGCCAACATGGTGAAACCCCGTCTCCACTAAAAATACAAAAATTAGCCAGGCTTGGTGGTGTGCACCTGTAATCCCAGCTACTGGGGAGGCTGAGGCATGAGAATCATTTGAACCCAAGAAGTGGAGGTTGCAGTAAGCCGAGATCATGCCACTGCACTTTAGCGTAGGTGACAGAGCAAGACTCCATCTCAAAAAAAAAATTAAAAAAATTAAAAATGGAGGCTGACCCCCTGCCAGGCGCTGCCTTGTCTCTGTGGCTTTAGTGACGTTGTCCTACGGGAACAGCCCAACTACCTCAAAGGCTCTGTGGGCAGCTCCTGCTCAGAGCATGGGGCCGGGGACAGCCAGAGGATGGGGTGCTGGTAGGGGCACAGCCCCCACCCACCAGACACCCCACCCATCTCCCCTCGGCTTCTGCCCGCAGCATCTCTAACAAGGAGCTTTCAGAGCTGATCGAGCAGCTGCAGAAGAATGCCGACCAGGTGGAGAAGAACATCGTGGACACGGAGGCCAAGATGCAGAGTGTGAGTGCCCCCGTTCCCGCCCGGGTGCTCCTGTGCTACCAGCCCCGTTCAGGACCGGGGTCTGTTCGGAATCAGTGATTCCCACCCAGGGGTGATTCTGGCCCCGAGGGAACATGCCGAGACAGTTTGGTTTTCACTGTTTGGAAGGAAGGTGCTTCTGGTGTCAGCTGGGGAGGGGAGACGGGGTTGCTGCTGAACACCCTACCATGCAGTGTAGGGCAGGGGCGCCGAGGTCAGGAAGCCCTGCTCTGCGAGAGGAACCTGGCCATTGTTGTTAATACCAGTACCTGCTGGATACTAAGTTCCTCCCACTTCCTGGGCCCTGTGCAAAGCATCTCCTGCCTGGAGGACTGCCATGGGGTCAGGCTCTAGGGAAGCAGCCCAGCCTTGTCCTTGCTGGGTAACCTTGGGCAAGTGGGTCTTTGCACCTCCCCATGAATGGGATTCTCTCTAACCGGGCAGGAGTGATGGTTCCCACCTGGCGGGGTGGTTGTAAAGATTAAATAGATTATTCAGGTACAGTGCAGAGCTACTATCATTAATATCATTCTCAGTGCTCATCCTGCTGCTGCCAGCACTCAGGGTGCAGGTCATCCTCAGCCTTTTTTGGAGAAGAGAGAGAAAATAGCTACGCAAATCACGTCCCCTCTCTGTGCCTCAGTTTCCCCTTGTTACATGGGGATAACTGCCCGGTGGACTCAATGGCACGAAGCCTCTGTACCCTGTGGGACTCATAAGCCTCTGGAATGGTCACCTCTTCGAACCTTCCACCAGCGTCAGCCTGGTGCGACTGGGTTGATGCCCGTTTTGTAGCCTGGAGCAATTGAGGTTCGGAAGGGACTGGGGTGATGAGTCAGTGACAGAGATGGTGCTAGCATTGGCCCGGAGGTGGAGTTACCAGATTTAGCAAATAAAATACAAGATGCCCAGTAACATTTGAATTTCAGAACACAAATCATGTTTTAGTAACAGGAAAGCGCATGTATTATTAGGGAAAGGCTTATGCTAAAACACTATTTGTTGTTTATCTGGAATTCAAGTGTAACTGGTGATCTGTACTTCATCTGGCGTCCCTATGTGAGAGATGACTAAGAGGTGGGACCAGGCCAGGTGCGTAATGACTCACGCCACTGTAATCCCAGTACTTTGGGAGGCCGAGGTGGGCAGATCACTTGAGGTCAGGAGTTTGAGACCAGATTGGCCAATACGGTAAAACCTCATCTCTACTAAAAGTACAAAAATTAGCCGGGCGTGGTGGTGCACACCTATAATCCCAGCTACTCAGGAGGCTTAGGCAGGAGAATTGCTTGAACCTGGGAGGCGGAGGTTGCAGTGAGCCAAGATCATGCCACTGCACTCTAGCCTGGGCAACAGAATAAGACTCTGTCTTGAAAATAACAACAACAACAACAACAAAAAAAAAAGGTGGGACCAGAGGAGTGGGAGGCTGAGGGTGGGGATGTCAGGAGGGAGGTCAAGGTCTGCTCAGGCCCAGTAATAGTTGTCCAACCCCCTGGCTGCCCCTGGTGGCCCAGTTGCCCACCCTCTGAAGGCCTGTCCACAGCAGCCAAGAGACCCAAGGTGGTGGGTGGGGACAGTCCGTGGGGGTGCAGGGGGCAGGTAAGTGGAGACTATGTTCTCCGCCACCAGCTGTCCCCTGCAGGGGCCCCAGGAGTGGGCCTTGCCCTGGCCTCCTTCCTGGGGTCCCGCCCTCCATGCCCTCCTGGGCCTCCACCTCCTGCCTCTCTGGCCTCTACCTGGTCACCCCACACCTGTTCCCTCCTGTCAGTTCCCCTCGTCATTTGCAGTTTCATCCCCTGCCATCTGAGGCTCCCTGTGGTGGTGGATTTTTTCTTTATTAAATGAAAAATATCTTTTGGGGGTGTCACTCTTTTTTCCTCATAATAAAAATAATATGTGTTCGTCACACACATTTCAGGATGGATAAACAAGCATAACAAAGTAAATTAAAATCGTGAGCCGGGCACGGTGGCTCACGTCTGTAATCTCAGCACTTTGGGAGGCCTCGGCAGGCAGATCACCTGAGCCCAGGAGTTTGAGACAAGCCTGAGCAACGTGGTGAAACCTCATCTCTACAAAAAATATGAAAAATTTGCCAGGTGTGGTGGTGTGTGTGCCTGTAGTCCCAACTCCTTGGGAGGCTGAGGTGGGAGGCTCACTTAAGCCCAGGAGGTTGAGGCTGCAGTGAGCTGAGATCACAGCACTGCACTCCAGTCTGGGCAGCAGAGGTAGACCCTGCCTCAATCAGTCAGTCAGTCAATAAACTCAATCATGTAGAATTCCACCACCAGAGGTATCTATTGGCTGTTAGCATATTGGTGTATATCTGTTTGACCTTTGTGTGTGTGTGAGAGAGAGAGAGGGAGAAAGAAGGGAGAGGGTTTAACCTTCTCATTTTATTTTCCTGGAGTAATGACTTGAAATAGGTAATTTTGAACCATTTGAACCATTTTTATTTTATTTTTTGCAGAGACAGAGATCCTTGCTATGTTGTCCAGGCTAGTCTTGAACTCCTGGCCTCAATCCATCCTCCTGCCTCAGCTTCCCAAAGTGCTGGGATTACAGGCGTGAGTGCTTGGCCTGAACTATTTTTTCTTTCTTTCTTTCTTTTTTTTTTTTTTGAAACAGTCTCACTCTGTCGCCCAGGTTGGAGTGCAGTTGTACTATCTCGGCTCACTGCAACCTCCGTCTCCTGGGTTCAAGTCATTCTTCTGCCTCAGCCTCCCAAGTAGTTGGGACTACAGGCATGCACCACCACGCCCAGCTTATTTATTTATTTATTTATTTATTTTCAGTAGAGATAGGGTTTCACCATATTGGCCAGGCTGGTCTCGAACTCCTGACCTCGTGATCCACCCACCTTGGCCTCCCAAAGTGCTGGGATTACAGGTGTGAGCCACCGTGCCCGGTCTATTTTTTTTTAACTTCAATTGAACTCACTTGAAGAAAGAAGCTAGGCTTTGAAGACTACATGGATCACACAATCTTTTTCTTGTTTACTTTTTGCTAAAGATACTATTAATTCATTTCCCAGAAGTGCTCTTGAATTTCCCATTTTTTTTAATTGAGGGGAGATTCACATAACATAAAATTAACCGTGTAATGTGTGCAGTTCAGTGGCATTGAGTACATTCACAACGTTACACAACCATCACCTCGATCTAGTTCCAAAACATTTCCCTTACCCCAGAGGGAAACCCCACACCCTTAACAGTGACTCCCCTCCTCCCCTTTTCCCTGGCAGCCACTCATCTGATTTCTGTCTCTGTGGATTTATTTATTCTGGATATTTGACATAAACAGAATCATACACTGCATCACACATTTATTCAAATGCTAAACATGCAGAAAACTGTACAGTGAACAGCCATATCCCACCGCCCGATCCTACTAATAATGTCTGCTGAATTGGTTTTATCATGTATCCGTGTGTGTGTGTGATTTATTAGATGTATCAGTGCCTATCATTTTTTATTTTTTTTTTATTGAGGACAAGGTGCTGCTCTGTCACAGTGGAGTGCCCAGGTGGGGCGAGTTCACTGCTTCACTGAAAGCCTCAACCTCCTGGGCTCAAGAATCCTCCCACCTCAACTCCAAGTGCTGGGACGACAGGTGCATGTACTATTGCCGTGGCCATTTGGGAGTTTTCTTGGTTTTTTCTTTTTTGTTTGAGGACAGAGTACTCTCTGTTGCACAGCTGGAGGGCATGCGGTCTCAGCTCAGCTGAAGCTCCCGCCTCCCGGTTCACGCCGTTGCTGCGCCTTCAGCGCGCTCCCAAGGATTGCTGGACTACCAGGCGCCCGCCACCTCGCCTGGCTAGTTTTGTAGTTTGGGGTATTTTTAGTACAGGACGGGGGGGGTTTCACCGTGTTAGCCAGGATGGGGCGAATCCTCCTGCCTCGTGATCACCCGTCGCACGCTCCAAGAGAAGTGCTGGGATTACAGGCTTAGCCCACCGCCCGGGCCTTTTTTGTTTTTAGAGATTTAGGGTCGTCACTATGTGGATCCAGGCTGGGTCTCCAACTCGCCTGGAGCTCAGCGAGTCCCTCTGGCCTGGGCTTCCCAGGGGAGTGGCCTGGGGATTATTAGGCGTGTTGAGCACCCTGCACGCGGGCCTGGGACGTAACAGTAAGAGCTTTTTTTAAATCAAGAGGGTTTAAGCGTTGACTAAACTTAGGTAGTGTCTTGACAGTTTTTTTTTTTGTTGAGACGCGAGGCATTGCTGCCTGTAGGGCCGGCTGGAGTGCATGTGGCCGGATCTTCAGCTCACTGAGCTCCGCTCCGGTTACGCCATTCTCCGGCCTCAGCCTCCCGAGTAGCTGGGACTACAGGCGCCCGCCACCTCGCCCGGCTAGTTTTTTGTATTTCTTAGTAGAGACGGGGTTTCACCGTGTTAGCCAGGATGGTCTCGATCTCCTGACCTCGTGATCCACCCTTCTCGGCCTCCCAAAGTGCCGGGATTACAGGCTTGAGCCACCGCGCCCAGCCAGAAGTGTCTACATTTGACGACTTCACCTGGTTGAATTTTTGCATCAATAGATACCCAGATAACCACTGTCTGGGGCAAGATGGATAACACTGTCTAGAAAGCTCCCTGGCCATCTCCCCAGTTGATCAACCCTATGCTAATCTCTCTCACCATCGATCAGTTCTGCCTGACTTTGAACTTTTGAACACTAGCCTCCCTGAGCTAGATGCTCTCTTTGTCTCTCAGCCAGTGTTTTGAGAGAACTTGCATTCCCACTGGGCACCTTCACGAATTAGGCAATGATTAATGGACTTCTTCCTTTTGCGGAATTAATCTTTGATCTGCAGCTCAGGGAAGCCAGTGATAATGGAGTGAATAAAATTCCACTCCAAGTCAAGAAGCTGATGTTTTGTTGTAATTAACACACACCAGCCTACCCAGGGTTGGGGGATGCCTGCTTCCATTGGCTTTTTGGATTGGTTGGTTTGTTTGAGGTAGGGTCTCGCTCTGTCGCCAAGGCTGGAGTGCAGTGGTGCAATCTTAGCTCACTGCAGCCTTGAACTCCTGGACCCAAATGATTCTCCTGCTCCAGCTGCCTGAGTAGCTAGGACTATAGGCGCCTGCCATCACACCCAGCTACCTTTTAAAAATATTTTTTAAGAAATGGGGTCTCACTATATTGCCCAGGCTGGTCTTGCACTCTTGGGCTCAAGCAGTCCTCCCACCTCAGCCTCCCAAAGTGTTAAGATTACAAGTATGAGCCACTGTGCCTGGCCTCCATTGGCTTTTCGAGACATCAGTCTCACCTCCAGTCCCCTGGGGAGCCAGGCCTGTTCACCCTTCAGCCCTTCCAGACTTCGCCAGGCAAAGACACTCTTGACACATTTTCTTCCTCCAAGAGGAAGCCAAGTCTTTACTTCATACCAGGCACCACGTCGCCCCTGTGTGTTTCTTATTTTTCTTCCTTTGGCGTTTTCTTTTTTAAAAACAACTTTATGGAGACATATTTCACTTTAAACATGCTCCCACTGCCAGTGTACAAATTAATGATTTTGAGGAACTTTAGCAAGGGATGGAACCACGCCCAAGAATCAGTTTCAGAATATTTTCATCCCGCGCAAGATCTCTTGTGCCTATTTACGGTTAATGCCTCTTCCCAGCCCTGCCGCAGGCAACCGCTAAGAGACAGAGAGTTTCTGTCTCTCTGAACTTGCCTGTTCAGGACACTTCACATCAATGGATCCCACACCACGTGGACTCTGTCGGGCTTCTTTCCCTTCGAATAACGTCTTCCAGGCTCGTCCAGATGGAGCACAGTCCGTAGTTCCTGCTCTTTGTTACGAAGTGGTATTTCTCAGTTCACTTCGCAAAGTGGGTATTTTCCGTATGCCCATTGTAGAGATGGGAATGCTGAGACCCAGCTAGGGGCAGGGACTGGGGGCCGCCTCTGAGTGTTCCAGGGTCAGCCAACCTGCACTTAGTCCCCACACTGACATGTCACTGCCTCCCCTGTGGGACTGGGGATGCCTCAGGGATTCATCCCCAGGACCTGGCATGGTGCAGACTCACAGCCAGGCTTCTCGGATACTGACACAGTGAATTAACCCTCTGTGTTTAGAAACCTACTGTCCCGGCTGCCATTCATTGCTCTTCCCTAAACGAACAGAAGCCCTGTACTCATCAGCAACCATCGATGGGCCCTCTCAGATATCCAGCCCCCCGCTCTCTTCCTTCTTGCTGGTGCCACCTCTCTGTCACCTGGCTGCTGCCATAGACCACTGCCTGCCTTCCCAGCCCACACCCTTGCTGCTGATGTCCTCTCTCTGCAGAGCCCATGGAAGCATCGCCTTTAAGCACAAATGGAGCTGTGCAGGATCCCTCCTGGCAGCCGTTCTGTGCTCTGGCCCTCCCCGCCTGCCCTGTTTCCTCCCTATCCACAGTGGCCTTTTCACTATGGCTCAGTTGTAGCTCGCTCTCTGCTGCCTCAGGACCTTTGCACAGGCTGTCCCTGTGCCTGGAACACCTGTCCCTTTCATCCTTTGTTCTTAGCTTGTGTCTCCGCTGCAGAGAGGCTTCCCTGACCACCAGAGCTGAAGTAGGTCCGCTCGTTCTGCCTCTGGGGCGTTTCTTTCATAAACACTGACTTGGAGGGACTTGCCGTCACCTCCGTGAGGCTCATCCTTTGGCCTTCCTGGTGGCCTCGCAGACTGGGCTGTGAGTGCCGGGCAGGGAGGCCGTGTCTCTTCTGTTCACAGCTGTGTCCCAACACCTGGCATACAGTAGGCACTTGAGCTCTGTTTGCTGGGTGGCTGGAGGACAGGCTGGAGGGGCATAAGGAAAATACGCACTTTGCAAAGTGAACTGAGAAATACCACGTAGCAGCAAAGAGATGGAACTACCAACCGCGCTCCAGCTGGACAAGCCCAGAAGATGTTATTCAAAGGGAAACAAGGGGAGCGTCTTGCTGACCCCTTTCCTCCCACCCCTCCCATTGCCACCGTGCCCGCTCTTGGCTTCTGTCCATTGTCCCCTCTCTTATGGCCCTCACAGGATGTGGCTCGGCTGCAGGGCGGTCGGCAGCCTGAGCACCGAGACGTGACCCTGCAGAAGGTGTTGGACTCCGAGAAGCTGCTCTATGTGCTGGAGGCGGACGCGGCCATTGCCAAGCACATGAAACACCCACAGGGGGACATGATTGCTGAGGAGTAAGTCCCTTCGGCTTCTTATCCCAGGGGAGCCATCGGGGGCTGTGGGCCAAGGCAGGGGGTACTGTTCAGCATTTGGGAGCCCGAGTCAGGGGTCATCAAGGGCTAACTAGGTGCCAGGCACGTGCCAAAGGCTTCACACGATCCTCTTTTTTTTTTTTTTTTGAGACAGGGTTTTTCTCTTGTTGCCCAGGCTGGAGTGCAATGGTGTAATCTCGGCTCACTGCAACCTCTGCCTCCCCAGTTCAAGCGATTCTCCTGCCTCAGCCTCCCAAGTAGCTGGAATTACAGGCGTGCACCACCACGCCCGGCTAATTTTTGTATTTTTAGTAGAGATAAGGTTTCTCCATGTTGGCCAGGCTGGTCTCAAACTCCTGACCTCAAGTGATCCACCTGCCTCGGCCTCCCAAAGTGCTGGGATTATAGGCGTGAGCCACCTTGCCCGGCCTCACATGATCCTCTTGATGACCCTATTTTGCAGTTGGGGAAACCGAGGCTCAGGGAGTTGATATCCCTTGTTCTGGAGCCACCAGGCTGACCTGTGAGCTTTTGAGCGAGCTCTTCCGCTGCCTGGTGCCCTGTCCCTGGCTTCCTTGGCTCACAACTCCCGGTTCAGTTTATCTTGGATGGATCAGCCTCCCTGACTCCTGCCTTGTCCCCACCTCCACCCCAGCAAGGGCAGGGCTCTCTCGGTGCCCCACGACCCTCAGCACTTGTCCTTGGCATGGCATGCGCCACCCCGTGGGCCCTGCTGGGTGGCAGACTCCAGAAAACAAGATCCTTCCCGCTTATTCCAGAACCTTCTATGGTTCTGGGCACATAGTAGGCTCTCAGGAAACTCTGATGGGGGAAGGAAGGTTGATGGAAAGTGGGTGGAGCCAGGCACGGTGGTTCACGTCTGTAATCCCAGCACTTTGGGAGGCCGAAGCGGGCGGATCACCTGAGGACGGGAGTTTGATACCAGCCTGACCAACATGGTGAAACCCCGTCTCTACTAAAAATACAAAATTAACCAGGTGAGGTGGCGCATGCCTGTCATCCCAGCTACCCTTACTGCTGATGTCCTCTCTCTGCAGAGCCCATGGAAGCATCGCCTTTAAGCACAAATGGAGCTGTGCGGGATCCCTCCTGGCAGCCGTTCTGTGCTCTGGCCCTCCCCGCCTGCCCTGTTTCCTCCCTATCCACAGTGGCCTTTTCACTATGGCTCAGTTGTA